TGAAATAGCAACATTAGGGAAATCAAGACCAGATAGATCCGTATGTGGGGGTTAGGGCGGAGGTGGGAGGGGGAGGGAAGAAGGCAGGGCAACCCAAGGACAAGGTGAAGAACCCCAGTGGTGATGGCCGTGTGCTGCATCGCCCCTGCACCTGCTTGTGATATTGTCTTGTCCTTTGCCCAGACGTTACCACTGGTAACGACTCGGTAAAGGGTAAAGAGTACACGGATCTCTCGATTGTCTCTTACAACTACATGCGTACCTGTAAGTATCTTAGAATAAAAAGTTTACTTAAAAAAGAAAGAAATCAAAACTCAGTAGTGGAGGCTTCTGTCTCCTAAGTGGATTCTCACATGAGAGCTGGCATTCAAATACGACTCTTCTGTCTACTGGCTCAGTGTTAGGCATTGGGGCATGAGAAATGCTTGTCTCATTAACAAGGGGAAAGATACATACGTGTGTATGTGTGTTTGGGAATAGATGTATTTACACCCTCATGTTTTTGACTGCAAAGACTTGTGCCGTTCCATTGGGACCAGCTACAATGCGTGAAGAGGACAGGAGGGCCAGCGGGGAGTGGTTAGCAGACAGACGGTGGGTTTGTTCGCCAGTGAATGGACAGCGTAAAATAAAGGGTCCGAGGCCCACGCTGCCATTTCCCAAACTTGAATGGTCCCCGGATAGTCCAGCCGTCTAGTCTTACTTTTCAACGTTCATGAGAGAGAATAGAAATCGGGCCCCACAGTCTAGATAAACATCCAGGTTTCTATGGTTTTCAAGGACAAAAGTTCTCAGTGGGATCACATGTCAGCCACCGGTCAAAACACCATGCGGATACACAGCACACCACAGGGATTATTTGTTTCTAAAGATAGTCGCTAAGACATCACCAAATTTGCTGACTGTTGTCTTAGCATCAGGAGACAACTTACAAATCAGTACTAAAGTTAGTACTAGAACGATTCTATCTGCCATCCTAGGAATTTCTTATTTTCAGAAATGTAAGTGTCCTATGTTAAATGCCGCATTAGATACAAAATCCTCAACATTAAAAAAAACAGGCTTGGACTTCCTTTAAGGCAATAATGTTACTGTTGTTGTGTTAGGTGCCTACAGTCAGTTCTGACTCACAGCAACCCTGGGAGCCACAGGATGACACCCGTAATTGCTCTCGTGTTGGAGCTAGTTTTTGCAGCTATGTGTCAATCCATCTTGTCCAGAGCCCTCCTCCCTTCACCGCCCCATCACTTTACCCCGCATGATGGCCTTCTCCAGAGACTGATCTCTCCTGACAACACATCCACAGTGCGTGGCACAAAGTCTCCCCTTGCTCGCCTCAAAGGAGCATTCAGGCTGTACTTCTACCAAGGCAGATTCGTTCATTCGGAAAATGCTTATACTGCTAAATAAACAGCAAAGAACTCAAAGCTCTGTGTGTGTGTGTGCACTCGCGCACAAGAGATACAGAGAGAGTTCCTAGGTGGTATAAACCGTTGATGTACTCAGTTGCTAAACAAAAGGGCTGGAGGTTTGAATCAACCCACAGGCCTATCTCAGAAGGAAGGCCGACCTACTTCTAAACGACAAGCCAGAGACAAGAGTACGACGGCGCATAGTTCCTCTCTGACACATACTGAGCGGCCATCGTGGCAGTGGCTCAGCAGGAACTGGCCAGCTGGGAAGGTGGGAGGCTGGAGAACGAGAGGCAAATGACTGAACAGACTAGAGAATGCTGACGCCTTAGCCCAGAAGGGACCTAGAAGGAAGAGCATGACGGGTAAAGGGCAACGTAAAACCACGTCAGCCCCTTTATGCTGCAGGAGCTCGGACAGGCTGGGAAGTGATGACACCCATCAACAGGCACGGAGCATGGGCCCCAAACAGCTTGGCTGGATGGACTGTTCTACAGGAAACACGTTTAGACTTCTGGGCCCTCATCTTGACGACCTCCCTCTGGACCCGGATAGAAGAAGGTGGACTCTCTCGAAAGGCTCGGACTTGGGGCTGCTGGGGCAGGGGTGGGGGTCCTGGTAATGACCACCATAGAGGAACGAATGGTGGTACAGGAATCAAGACCTGGCACTAGATCTCCATTCCATGGATTCACCCAAGAGAGGAGCCACCTGCTGGAAGTGGTGGGAGGCAGTTTTGCCAGACTGAGAAATCAATTATCTAGCAAGTAGAGTGGCCATCATGGAGCCATGGAGTCGTGGGACCAGGGTCTGAGCACCAGGTAACACAGAGCATGCGGAGGCACAGATAGTCTTCTATAGGCAGGTGCTGATGAAGCCCCAGGCGCTCTGCCAGGTACTTTTATGACCTCACATACTGGCTTTCCACTGCCAATAAGACCCCACTTAGCAGGGCAAAGGCAGGAACCCAGGAGGGAAGATCTGTATAAACAAAGAGGAGCCTGAGGCCTGACACCGAGAGGAACTAGATGCCTGGGCAGGTACAAGGCAAGAACTCAGACTCTGAGAACAAGGCGGAGACTGTTCCTGCAGCCAGAATTCCAGGTGGGAAACCGGTGTTCAGGGCACCACAGAATGGAAGTTATGCGTATTGGGACTCAAGGCAGAGGTGATCCTGGGCCACTGGATCCTTAAACCCCTGGAAGGCAGGCAGAATGAGGACAGAGGCTGAGACCAGACAAAGCAGAGGCTGCTCCTGCCGGACGCAATCAGCCTGGCCCACCTTCCTCACTGAAGTCTGAAAGGGAGCCCAGCACACACCACGGACGGGACGGCACCACTGGCGGCCGCACAGGGGCTCTGCCTGATTGGCCAGAGCCAAGAAACCGAGGCTGAGAAAATGGTTCCAAAATCACGTGGCACAGCCTGTGCCTGGACCACAGTGGCGTCACTGCAGCTTCAGGAGTAAGTGGCTAGGCTGGTGAGAAGAGTTCCAAATAAAAACGCAATTGCTTAACAAGGATGTTCCCATTTAAGGTGCTGCTCCTGGCAACTCGGGAACCTAATTCCAACAGCTAGGTGTACGTAGACTATGTTGTACACATGTGCTTAACACGCCGACGGCACTTCAGCTGGTGTTTGGAGGAAAAACAACCTTCTGGCCCAGAGTCACAGGGTGAAGGGCTGTCTTCTCTGACTCTTCCTTGCTTGCTGCTTGGGTGACAACCACATAAAACAGTAGAAAACAGTGACACCTAGTGTCTGAAAATGTTATTCTTAGAAGACAAGCTGAACAAACTGTGAAGGCTGATGGAACAATGTAGAGATAAGCTTACACACCTTTATAAAAAGTAAAATTTAAACGGTAAATTGTCCTTTATCCACTAACAAATGGAGGAGATTTTCCTACTGTCTTCATTCTCTCAAGCCCGGAAGTCCCGGGTCCTGGGTAGAGAGGTGGGTCAGTGCAGAGGCTGTGAGAGCCGTGCCGAGGCCTTACAGCAGACCCACCCCGATGACCAATACTCAACAAGTGTTAAAACCCAAAGAGAAAAAAGCAACAACATCAACTTGAGGTCTAATTTTTTTTTTCCTCCCACAAACCCTGGTGACAGATTCCACACCTTCCTGTTGCCTGGTAAAAAAACAGTCATTAAATAACTACTTTTGAACCCAGTTTTGAAAATGACTCCATTTATCAAACACCTTTACTGTGCCGTCTTCTCGGGAGGCTCAGGGCAGAACTTCCTCTGAACCGGACTTACCTCTGCGATTCTTTTCTTCAGGTTCTCCTTTCCCAGGTAGGACGCCTGCAGCGAGATGACATTCTCCTCCTTTTGAATCAATGTGATCAGGATATTTTTTAAATTATGATATTGTTTCAGCAGCTCCAACGCCCTTTCGCACTGTTCAAGGCTATGAAAGGAAACAACGCGAAGCCACTGAGTGTCGGAAAACACCACCGCCAACCTTTTGCAGCCCCCAGTAATTGCCATGAATTATAGGAGGAGTTCTCCTCTGGCAATGATTAGCCTAAGGAAGAGGGGACATACTTAGCTGATTAAAAGGTGGGGTAAATAACCCCTGGGTTAATATTTTCACCAGATCAATATTAAAGCAAACCAATGTACAGTCTAGAGAGAAAATACAGCAGGAGTCATAAATGCAAGCTACCAGCACCTGAATTTCATCATTAACCAAAACACATCTTGGAAAACATTGTCTTCCTAGCTTTTTATTTGGTGATCATTTGTAACGTGGTTCACCGAGTCACAGGTTGTTCCTGCAGGGGGGGGTGGGGCGCGTCCATTGTCATTGGGTAGTGGCATGACTGCTGTGATGCAGGAAAGCTCCGGGCGTGAAATATCAGTAGGGTTACCTATGGTATTCTGTTTATTCCAAATTTAGTCTTTTTTTTTTAAACAGAAAAAAAAAATTCAACGTGACAGTTGGAATATCTGGTTTCGAGCCACAGCTGGGCACTAACTAGTCTTGGGAACTTGGATATGTTAATTTGGCCTGTTTGGACCTCAACTCTTCCCTCTGGGTCAAATACCACAGGCAGGCTTGATCTCGACTCCTGTAGCCTCGGGGATCTGAAGGCAAGAGGAGGAGCTCCAGGAAATCGTGAAAAGGATGAGAGGGCCCCCTGACAGAGGTGCTGGCAGAGTTAAGGGGGAACCAGCAGGGTCACCAGGGAATAACCTCAGCAAGAATGTCACACCGCTGGATCCCAATGGGGAAGGGAAGAAAGGGCCCAGCCAGGGCAGGGGGCATTGTCCGGACCTGCCAGAACCTTGTGATAAGACAGGGGGATGGGAAAGAACATCCTGACCATTCTGGCCCTGACACTCCTACAATGACATCCCACTTTTTTAACCCAATTGGAAGCCTTGGCCTGTAGGGTCAACCTTCTCCACCGCACCGCAACCCCAGACAGAGGATAAGGAGAAGAGCGGCTAGGTGAAGATTCAGAACTGCCAAGAGAGACGGATGGGCAATGGCCTTCATACAGTTAAGAACAAACATGGGACTCTGTAGGAAAGACTAGGTCATCGACAGGCACTGTCTGCTATGCAAGTTGAGTGGTGTAGCAGAGGGCAATGGCTTCCCAGAGATGTCCACCGCCTAGTCCCTGGGCTCCCATGGTAAAAGAGATTTACAAATGTGATAACGTTCAGGATCTTAAAACAGGAGATGATCTTGGGTTATCCAGGAGGGTCCAATGTTATCACAAGGCTCCTTACAGGAAAGGGGCAGGAGCGTCCGAGGAGGAGATGTGAGTGAAAACGGATGGGGAGGTCAGAGAGTCAGAGAGATTGGAAGGCAATGTGCTGCTGGCTTTAAATTGGCAGAAGGGTCCAGGAGCCAGAAATGTGGCCTTCCTAGAACTGAGAAAGGTCTGGAATCAGAGCCTCTGATCTCCAGAATTGGAAGATAAGAAATCTGTATTGTTTGAAGCCACTAATGTTGTAGCAATTTGTTACCGTAGGACTAGGAATCCCGTACAGGCGGGACAATGTTAAAGACCAATATACTGTGCATTTGCTAACCCTGGTAGACAAGCTCTCTGGTGCCTTCCAGCAGTTGTTCATGACTCAGGCTCTGCCTTACACTTGGGCCCAGGGAGCTTCGGGCATGAAGCTTGGACCTGACTCTTCTTTCGGTCCTTGGAAATGTTTTTCTTCAACGTAAAAATTTCAGAAAGCTTGCTGGCCACAGATAACTTTTCAGATGGGGGGGGGGGATTTTCTCCTTACCATTCAGCGACCGAGGCTTTTGTGTTCTCCCACAGGAGTACCGTGCGCTCGCACCGCTGCTTCAGAGCCTTTTCTCGGCCGTCCTTGAACTGTGGAAGAGAAGCTGCCATTCCTTGCAGGTGTTTCTTCTCGTCTTCGTACTCATCTAGATCTTTATCCACTCTGATAAGTGATTTTTTCCTGATTATGAAAGAGAAGAGTTTGAGAGCCAGTTATTACCCAATGAGATTTGATCACAGATAAGGAAGCACACTAACTTTCATTTCTGTTAAAACTACACATTTACACATAGAATTCAGGGGTCTCCTTGCATGTCTGCAATTTTAACTGACTGTTTTAAATGTAAGGAATACACAAAGCCGTAAGCAATAACATCTGTGATGAATACACGTGTAAAACATGTGTAGAGGGCGTATATGCATAGAAAGGTACATTCAAAGCAAAAAAACGTCTACGGTCTAAGATAGATGTGGTGGTGATTGTACAACTCCCCTTGATGTGAGTGAAGGATGGAACTGTTCCAGTGTGTGATATGTGAACTGTGTGCCAAAAAACGATTGGAAAAAAATGGAAAAATGTAAAAAAAAACAAAAACTCAACCCCCAACCAGTATGTGTGCCGGTATGTGCGTCTCTGCGGTGCGCAAGCGTGGAGAGAGGATGGATGGCTCGGAACAGCAAGGCTCCTCACTGGGGGCGACGGTGACAGAGAGAAAGAGCCAGGGGCACGTGGGCATGCCTCTTCAGACAACAAGCTTTTCCCTCGTTGGCCATTAGGATGCTGCAGACCCAAACCACAATGAACTACCCCCTCACCACACTGGAATGGCAACGTAGGGGGGAGGGGGTTGGAAGGGGGGAGGGAGGAGAGGAAAACAGCAGATGTTGGCAAGGTTGTGGAACCACTGGGACCCTCATCCATGGTCCATGGGACTGTGAAACGGAATCGCATCTGGGGGAAATAGGTGACCATTCCTCAATCCAGGCAGTGCCTTGAGTACGAACATCTAATTTATAAACAGTCCGTACTTGCCCTTGGAGGTTGCCTCACATTGCCCTCATTCATTCATCTCCCTTTACTCAGTTATCTTCCCATCCTACATCCCTGCTTAACATTCCTCCACAGCATTTATCAATGCCTAGATACCAAATATCTTTCTCTCCTCACTAGATTATAAATTTCAGGGGGTCAGGGATATATTTTTTATCTATCTATCCATTTTTTTATCTCAATTTATTGACTGCTGTATCTTCCTACTGAAGCCCTGATGGTTACATGCTGGGCTGTGATCTGAGTGGTCAGCAGTTCCAAACCAGCAGCAGCTCCACAGGGGAAAGGCTGGGCTTTCCACTCCCCTAAACTGTTACAATTCCAAAAGCCCACGGGGGTGGGGTGGGGTGGGGGGTAGTGGTAGTGTCGGGTCGCTATGAGTCAGCATTGACTCGATAGCAGTGAGTTTGGGTTTTGGGGGGGGGTTTGGTATCTTCAGTGCCTAAAAGGGCTCCTGGTACATAGTAGGCAGTTAATCTAGACTTACTTTATTAATAACTAGATTAATAATCAACTTGTTTTATTACTTGCAGACTCACAGTTTTTTGCTTATCAACTTATATATAATTTACTTATTATTTGGTCTTTATAAATCTTTAATGAAATTTTACTAGGATGAAATGAATAATTAGCTCAACACTTCACTAAGAATAGGGGGCCTTTAGGAACAAAAGTTACATTAAGACTGAGGGCACAGAGAACTATTTTTGTAAATTTTCTATAAATCTACAACGACTCAAAAGTTTCTCAAATTTATTTGTAAAGGAGCAAAAGCAAAAACAAAACCAAAAAAACCCAGCAGACTGAGGGCACAGGGAGATGTCACAGGGACTGGCACAATTAAGCTGTATTGCAGGACTTGGACAACCCAAGAGTCTCTAGACCAGTGGTTCTCCACCTTCCTAATGCCATGAACCATAAAATTATTTTCGTTGCTACTTCATCACTGCAATTTTGCTACTGTTATGAATCGGGCAACCCCTGTGAAAGGGTCGTTCGACTCCCAAAGGCATTGTGGCCCACAGGTTGAGAACCACTGCTCTAGACCATGGCAATGAAAGGACCTGCAGTGGGCAAAGGGAGAGAGAGAGAAAGTGGGAGGAAGACTAGAGGACGGCACCTATAAGTGGCCCTTGCTAAGATTTCCGTTGTCAGGACCTGGAGTCCACACACTGAACTGCTAACGTTTAAATAGCAGCACTCACATACAGGGTCGCCAGGCGTCAGCTTACCCTCAGGTTACTCAGCAGAAAGCTCCTCTGACATCCAGTCCCTTGCTGCCCACTCAACCCCCACCTTCATTTTGCTGGGCGGAGCGGGGAAGGCCAAATCACCAGACAAGAACCAAAGACAGAATGTGGCACGTGCCCCCTCCAACACTTCTTTCTTGAGGATTATAAAATACAGGGCGTTTCCCAACTCTTTCCCCATCCAGAGAGCCCCATCATAAACCCAGCAGTCCAAGGGATCTGAAGTAAGGCACTTAGACATGTCTGACTTTCCCACACCTTTGAGCCTGGGAATGTATCCTTTAAAGGGGGTGGGGGAGAGGGGGGCATACAAAATTGGAAAGGTGTAAAATCAACCAAAAGGAAGCTTACTTGAAAAGCCTTTCTACGTACAAGAATGCAGAGCATTGACTGGGGTGGGCTGGCCCAGGCGCAGAAAGACACGGAGGGAGTGTGTGTTCTACCTGCTACAGATCCAACCATGAGGAGGAACTAAATGGACAGGAACAGACGCAATACCTACCTCTGTTTTATAGCTGGAATGGTTGGATCCTTAAGACCAATTTTGCTCATTTGATTCTGCACATCTTGAAGATTTTTTAGCAGCTCATTATTTTTGAAAACACACATCTCTAGTAACTTGTTGTCCCCGCGGAGTTCTTCCTGTGCCCCACACTTGGTTGACACAAAATCAGTCAGCTTCTCACAGGAGGAGGCCTCGCCCAGTTCAGCATCTTTCAGGCTGATATCAAGCTCCTGCAAATGGTGATCCAGATGTCTGGCCTTATCTCTCATCAGATGGACGCTGCCCGCTCTGTGTTCTGCGGTCAAACTACGTTCTGGCAACACCTGTGTCTCTGAGGCTGCGCAGTCGGCAGCCAGCTCCACAGGGAGTGCAGCTGTTCTCAGAGAGGCCAAAAATGCCTCCAGAACGTTGAGGGCATCTTCGCTCCTCTGAACTTTATGGCCCAACCCTTCGAGTTGCGCTTTGTAGTTCAGTATAATATGGTGAGTGGCACATCGGTCAAGTGGGTGTAATTCCTGTAGTGCAGAATTGCCGGGCTCTTCGAAATGGCTACATATTTCGATCTGTTTCGCAAGGGAATCTTGAATATTCTAAAATCAATGTAAGAAAAAAAGGACAGTCTGAGCAGGCACAAAGCTACGCTGCATCAGAAACTAACCCCAAATCTGGCGACTAGGGTGACCTGGAGCCCTGGGCCGAGTGGTTGTGCACTGGGCTGCGTTCTGCAAGGCCGGCAGGTGGAAACCAGCTCCCTGCTCGGAGGCAGAAGGACAAGGCTTTCAACTCCTGTAAACAGTGACAGTCTTAGAAACTCACCGGGGCAGTCCTACTGTCCCACAGTTGCTATGGGTCGGCATCGACCTGATGGCAGTGAGTTAGGTTTGGTTGTATGACTGACTTGGACTGCTTACCACAATGTCTGTGGGTCAAACCATCAGCTGCTCCAAGAGAAAGAGATGAGACTCTCTGTTCCCATAAAGATTTAACATCTCGAAAACTGGGGTTGCTAGTCAGAATTAACTGGTGGCTATGGATATAATACTATGGATACATAATTTTATAGACATACTATTGATACATAATTTGGAAATCCATAAGCACTTATACACGTGTGAACAACTGATTGTGAGAACTGATATTTGCCTTTAGGTTTTGATAAATGCTATCAGCATCCTTCAGATGAAATTCTCGAATGGCCAGTTCATGGAGGACCAAATCCGAGTCACAGAGGCAAAGCGATTCCTTCTCCAGGGGCAACACAATCTGCAGTGCTAGCTCCAGAGACTCCATTCTGCGGGAAAACAAACCGGACATAAGTATCTTTGTAGCTGTGAACGGAAAGGTCTATCCAAGAAAAAATACATGTAGGGATGTGTACACATCATCGCTTTAAAACTCACACCAGCAATCTAAAATGCCAAGAGTGAGCTGCTGGCTACACTCAAGTTCTCTTCTCAATAGTCCTCACGTTGAATGGAAAATTATTGTAAAATATACCAGACTGTCCTCTGTCTTTTGAGGTGAAAAATACTGACTGTAACTTAACTTTGCCTCAGTGTCTAAGAAATGTCATTCTAAATGCTAAATGCATTCTAAATGCATTGAAATGCCTTGATCAATGCAAATAAAATGGATTTCAGAGGGGCTCCAAAGAGTTCATGGAAATGTCTCCCTACACTTTAAAACCATTTCTCCACTAACTTTTGAAGCCCATTTGTTTAAGTAACATACAAGAGATCATCAAAATCTCATGGAACATGTGTCTTATAAAAACACTAAGCATGGATTTCTTTTTCGTTTTTTTTTGCACCAACATAAACTAAGGAACCCTGGTGGCACAATGAGTTCTGAATTGGGTTGCCAACTGCAAGGTCAGCAGTTCAAAACCAGCAGGGGCTCTTTGGGAGAAAGATGGGACTTTTCACTTCGGTAAAGATATACAGGCTGAGAGACCCAAAGGAAGAGCTCTACTGCCTAGAGAGTCTCTGCGAGTGAAAGTCAACGTGTCAGAACATGGTCTAATCCGAGAGCCTAAGGATAAGACACCAGTTTGAAAAGAAGCCCTGTTAGAGAACCACAAATTCTGCTAACATTGAAGCAAGAACAAGCATCACATTTATGGTGAAACTTAGGGAGAAGAAGGATGAAATCGCTGATGCGTTATGAAAAGTCGGTGGGAGCTCTGCCCAAAGTAATCAGTATTTACAAGAGGGGACTTTCAGAAGGGATGAGACCATCCACATCAACGTGTGAAGAAAGAAAATCAATCTTGTCCAGGCCCTCATTCAAGAGGACTGATGATGAACGAGAGAAACAGCAGCCAACCCCACACACGTCTCAACTGGCTCGGCGTTTACAGCTCAAACTGAAAACTACGCGGGAACAAGCTTTGCTTGGCGGCTGCTCAAACTTCTGCACATCTATCAGCTGCAGATAAGAAAAGAGCTTTCCACACCAGCCTATGCAACCACGAGGTGTTGAAGGGATCAGGTGTAAGGCATCATCAGAACAAAAAATCTTACCATAGTGAATGATGGGGGGAGTGCGGAGTGGAGATCTAAAGCCCATTAGTAGGCCACTGGAGATCCCCTTGCAGAGGGGTCTCGGGGAGGAGACGAGCCAATCAGGGTGCGATGTAACAATGATGAGAAACACAACTTTACTCTAGTTCCTAAATGTTTCCTCCCCGCTCCCACTACCATGACTCGAATTCGATCTTGCAAGTCTGGCTAGACCAGAGGAGGTACACTGGTACAGATAGGAACTGAAAATACAGGGAATCCAGGACAGATGAGCCCTATAGGACCAGTGGTGTGAGTGGCAAAACAGGGAGGGTAAAGGGAGAATGGGTAGGAAAGAGGGAACCGATTACATGGAAGTGTGTGTGACCTCCTCCCTGGGGGACAGACAACCGAAAAGTGGGTGAAGGCAGACGTCGGACAGGGCAAGATATGACTAAATAACAATTTATAAACTATCAAGGGCTGATGAGGGAGCGGGGAGCGGGGAGGGAGGGGAAAAATGAGGACCTAATATCGGGGGTTTAAGTGGAGAGAAAATGTTTTGAGAAACGATGTACAAATGCGCTTTACACAATTGATGTGTGTATGGATTGGGATAACAGTTGTATGAGCCCCTAATAAAATGTTAAATAAATAAATAAAAGCCAAAGCAAACAAAAAAAAAAGAAAAGAGCTTTCCATAGAAATTTTAAGCAAGTGGGATCAGGAGCCTGCAGCATTTTTTGAGGAATTCCAGTAGGAGATGAAACACAGCTTTACCCGTCCAATACTGTAGACAAAGCAGTCAGACCAATGGAGAGCAAAAGACTGAAGGGACCCAGCCAAAGCCAAGGTGGACCTGCCAAGAGCAGAGATCAGGGTAACAGTGTGTGGGGAGAGGGTTACTCAAAGCATTTTTCCTGTTGACTTCTTCGAAGACCAAAGAATGATAATACATTTTTTAAATTATTATAATTCTTTTTTATTAGTCATTTTATTGGGGAGCTTTTACAAATCCTATGACTATCCATCATTCAATTGTATTAAGCAAACTTGTACATATGTTGCCATCAACATTTCCAAGTATTTTCTTTCTACTGAGCCCTTAGTATCAGCTCCTCTTTTGCCCCCTCCCTACCCCCCTTGTGAATCCTTGATCAATTATATATTATGGTTGTTATTTCGTGTCTTACACTGTCCGTTACACTTTACCCACATTTCTGTCATTCATCCCCCTGGGAGATGGGATATATATCCAACCTTGTGATGGATTTCCCCTTTCTCCCCAACCCCCAATAGCTGTTTATTGTGAGAGTGGAATGAGAAAGTTAGTAAATGGCTGGGAAACCATCACTGGCAAGCTTTCTCCATCACAACAATGTTCTTACTAATTCTTCTCATTCAAGCAGGGACAATTTTGCAAGAGTTTGGATGGGAATCATTGCACATCCATCTTACAGTCCTGATTTGGCTTCTTCTTGCTCCCCTCCCCCACCCCAATCTTAAAATATAAGGTCACCATGAGCCAGAATTGACTCGATGGCAGTATAAATAATCTTTTTTAAAGTCCTTAAAGGGCACCCCTTTTTCTTCAGTTAATACTGTAAAAACCGCTGGATTTAATGGTTAAATTTCTAGAACATTCAGTTTCTTAGGGATGGATTACATGATTGGCATCATCACTTAAAGCATCTTGAACTTGATGGAGTTCCTGCTGAGAAATAAGATTGTATTGTTTTAATCTTCCATTTTCCCATGAACTTTAAAGAGTCCCCCGTAGAAGTCTCAGTCTAAGCCTCTGTAAAACGAGGCTGTAGACTGGGGATGATGACAACATTGCCACTTAAGAAATGAGGAAACCATAGCTCACAGAGCTTCTGGGGCACAGCCAAATACTTGCCAAGGGAAGACAGTGGGAAGAGCCTCGGTTTGGGAACTTGACAGATCTTAAGCTCAACTTAAGTCTCTGGCTAGCGGTGTGGATTGGTTATTTAACCCCTCTGTGCACCTGTTTTCCTAATCTGTAATATAACTAACCTAATGGTAGCCTTCCTTAGAGTGCTTGTGAAGATTAATTAAGGAGCATACTTACTATGCTATTGTTAGGTGCGAGCGAGTGAGTTCCAACTCATAGTAACACTGCCAACAATAGAATGAAACACTGCCTGATACTCTTGGGGATACCTCCCCCAAAAAGCCCGCAATTGCGCTGGGTGGAGCAGAGCTTTCATAGTACTACCTTTTTTTCCCATCACATGAGCGTCAAGCAACTCGTTCTGAGTTAGTGCACCCAGTGGTGTTGCCCGGGAAGGTTCTCTCTGGTCAGTGAATTTTTTTGTAAAAGCAGTTTCATTCAAAGCTCGCTTCGGATGGCCGATTTAAGAGACCAGCACGTGACTGTGAAATTGTGTTTCCTGTTCAGGAAAAGTGCTGCAGAAACTGTTGTGAAGTTGAACACAGCTTACAAGGAGAGTTCTATGGGAAAAATTCAAGTGTATGAGGGGTATTCTAGTTTCAAAAAAAGGGTGAAATATTGATGGATGACAAACCTCATTGTGGACATCCGTCAACTTCCCAAACAGACAAAAATAGCGACTCATAATGCATTTGGAGTTCATTCTATTAGGTCAGACTGTTAACCGAGCATTCTATTTAGAGGCTCTGAGAAGATTGCATAACAGTGTGCAACCAGAAAAAGGCCTGATTTGTGGCAGATGGAGGGACTGGTTTTGCCACCATGACGACGAACCTGTTCACGCAGCCATCTCAGTGCACCAGTGCACCTAGCATGCCTTTCTTGCTCCACACACCTTACTCACCTGACCTCACTCTGTGCGACTTCTTTTTGTTTCTGGCTAATGAAGAGGGACATGAAAGGACACCAATTTGACAACGTAGAAAAAGTAAAGGAAGAAAATGAGGGAGGTGCTGTGAGCCATTCATCGCTGGGTTTGAGCTTTAAGGGCATTTAAAAAGTTCAGTAAATTTAGTAAAAACATGACTAATCCATTAAAGAATCATACCTGTCATTGAGGGCCATCTGGAACTCTTGTTCCTGTCCCTTTAATCGGTCTCTTGCCTTAGCTATGACAGGCTTCTTCATGTCATTCACGAGACTTTCTAACCTCAGGGAAGTGATCTCAAATTCCTTCCAGCAAGCATCAGTTTCCTTTTTTAAGGCCTAGATGAAAATCATACATTAATTAAACAACTAGCCGATTAATAGACACAATTCTATTTTGTACTTTACAAAATAAGGCATTCATCAACTGTCAGAGCAAAGTTTCACATGAAAACACAAGAAAAAGATTTCCCAACCGTCTTTCAGTGGACTCTCAGGAAACAGTGATATTAATTGTGTTCTCAAAAGGCCTATTTCATGAAGACAAAGGAGCCAACAAAATGGTCTCTCAAGATCTCTGAACCCTCCCTTCCCTACGTTAGATACACAGAACACCGTGCGAAATCATACACATAGATTTCAGAACACAGAGCCTATTCCTTCTAAACAGGAAACCTTGCTACCTTCTAAACTAAAGGAAACAAGAGTGACCCCAAACTGCTAGCATACGGATGAAAACGGAATGAGATTAATTCATTATAATTAAATAGTTACAATTTATGCTATATGCATCTGGCTCTCTTAAAGGAAAACAAACCAAAAAAGGACCACTGCAGAAAACTACTGGGTGTTTACCAACATAATTTGCTCTTCATTCCCCACAAGGATTAGTATAGTGTTTTCATAAGTATGAAATAAAAATATGCTAAATTCATCACTTGAACAACAAAGATTTTAATACACGAGTTTTGCTTATTCAGATGGAAAATGGAGAGGAACCAGATGGTAGCATGTGACTCAGGAGCTTACATAATTAAAAGAAAGAAACTAGAAAACACAGCGGGGGAATGAATGGAAGGAGCTACCTAGGGCTCTTTGTCCACCAGGTGAGCTCTCCTTGAGAGTTCACTCCAATGTGCTCCCAAGCTCGCAACAGGAATGCTGCACTGCAGTGCAAGGGGGATTTATTTACCTATAGTGCTTTACAATTCCTGTGCCTACCACCGGAGAGATTGCTCTTTCCCGGTAGCTCCTGAGCCAAGTTCAGTACTTCCTCTGAAGGTTTTCCAGGAAGATCAACTATCTTATCAAGTGAATGTTCCCCCACCCCACCCCTACCTTCACCCCAAACTTAAGGTGACCAGACGTCC